CCATGCCAGAGAGTTCCTATGGCCTTTAGCTGAAAGGCCGGTCACCTCTGAAGCCGAGGACACTTGGTTTTGGGGGCTTGGCCATTTCTAGAGGGCTCTGAGGGAAGTCAGGATGTGGCTTCTGCCTGGTCAGCTCTCCTCCACTCACCAGACTGACTCTCCTATACATTTAATGGGGTGCTGTGAATCACACCCAAGTGGTGAAACCCCTTTGAAATGCCTCTGCACTTCCTGGAAAGCCAGAGCACCTAATTTTGATGCCATTCTCAGATGTAGACAGTTTTTGCCACTGCAATGGTAAATGGTCCGAAGTCTGTTTACTTTCAGGCTCTCTTTGCTCTCTCTCTGCCATTCATGTCCAACTTTTCCTATCTCTTCCTTTCTCTTTTCTACATTTTGGCTTTTGCCCTGAAGAATGCGACGCAGGCTGGGTCCCAGAGACCTTCCTATAGGTTCCCTCTCAAAGGCTAGCCAATGTAGGCTTGATCTATTTGTTCAGAATTTCTTTGCATTTTTTCAGAAATTCTCCATCTTGAGTTCGCCATCTTGGCCACATGGTGGGTTAAGGGTTTGGTCCCATCTGACCCTTAACCTTCCACCAAGCTTACTACTCCATCTATCCTAAGGTGCTTTGCTAACAATTTGCTCTTTTCACAGGCCCTGGAAACTGAGGCCCAACCATCTGATGTGCTTTGTTAACAAAGATGTCTACACATTGTTGTCAAAAACTTTGGGTTTTGAGTTTTGCCTTTTTTATTTTTTTGGGGGGGGGGGGGTCCGGTCATGGGGCCTGAACTCTGGGCCTGGGCGCTGTCCCTCAGCTCTTCAGCTCAAGGCTAGCGCTCTACCGCTTGAGCCACAGCACCACTTCCGGCTTTTTTTTTTCTGCTTATGTGGTGCTGAGGAATTGAACCCAGGGCCTCAGGCATGCAAGGCAAGCGCTCTACCACTGAACCACCTTCCCAGCCCCTTGCCTTTTTTATTTTGTGTTGTGTATTCTACTACTGACTATGTGGTTATAAAATACTGGGCATATCTGTGCTAAAATTCTCATCACATCTAATGAATTTTGTCATTACAGAATATTTGTTGGTCAGTTCTTTATAAGGAGCAGGTTAAGCTTTACTTATTCTATTTGATCTCCTTGTTACTTTAATTGGAAATAATAAAGGGCTTTTGTGGCAAAGATTTCAGTTCAAAGCCAACCCGGGCTGAAAAATCCCTAAGACTCCAATCTCCCAACTAACCTGCAAGGAGCCAGGCTGGAAGCATGGCTCAAGACTCATATCTAACCAGCAAACACTGCAAGTGGTACTATAACTCAAAGTGGTAGAGTGCTAGCCTTGAGCAGAAGTGCTCAGAGATCCTGCCCAGGCCTTCAGTTCAATCCTCCTTGAATACTAACTGGGAAAAGCCATCCCAGCAATGAGTACCTAGACTCAGCCAGTCTGGGGAACAAGGGAACATGGAGAGGAGTAAGAGGAGATGATGTCACATCAGCCACTTTGTGTCTGCCCTTTCAAAATTAACCAGAGCTGGGAGGTTAATAGAAGTGTCCATACCTGTCTACCTATTAACTGGACAAGAATTTATATTCTTGCCTTTGTTACCTGACTTCTCCTCTACCTAGTCACCAGATGTCAGAAGTAGCTAGGGACATTTCTACCAATATTTTTCAGCCCCAAGTCTTTCCTCTTGCCATTTATTTGCTCTCTAGTATTTTTTTTCCAGCCCCTCAATGCCTCATGAGACTTCTTCAGACTTCATCTAAGGACTCATGCCACCAAGGGACAGCTGCTGCTCGCTGCCTTCTCTGGGAGAGAACCAAATTCCAGCCTTTTACCCCTAATGTCAATGCCCCTTGTCAGCAGCAAGTAGCCAGAGAGACTCTGGGCCCTATTTCATGATTATTAAAAGGCTGAAATGTAAGGTCCGCTCCTGGATGGAGAGCAAACTCCACCCTCCTCGCAGTACCTATATTACCTAGGCAACTGGCACACCTGGAAGAAGTCAGGCTAAGGTCACTTCTGAATTTGATGTGGCCACACCTTTCTCCACTCATACCCTAGATAAGGCCTAGCCCAGGCCCAGACACCCTCTTTCCCAGCTCTCTCTTTCCCACCTCTCTTTCTCAGCACTTTCCCAGCTCTCTCTTCTCTTTTCTAGTTCTTTTCTAGCTCTTTCTCAGCTCTTTCCCACCTCTTTCCCAGGTCTTTCCCGGGCCTTTCCAAGCTGCATGGAGGGCCAATGAGGCTTGGTGCCAGCCAGAACGATGAATAAACCTACCCCTTACCTGAATACCATGTGCTACCCCTTACCTGAATACCACGTGTGTGGTGCTGTTCTTACTCGCCTACCTCTTTTTAAAAACCTAACACTATGGCTGCCATGGAATAAATCTCCTTTCTCCGCCCTTCAAAAAAAATGAATATTAAAGTCAAGTGGAAAGAGTTTCCTCAGAATCAAAGTCCAGAACTGAGCAACCAAATTCCTCTGGGGAAAATATTTCTAGACCATGCCTGATCATACTTCAGTGGTCCCCAATGACATCACAAAGTGCAGGTTTTTACAAAGGAAGTACTTGGGTGTAAAGCTTGGTCATTCAAGAGGCCCAGATTAGAAAAAACAAAATATCACCTAGCTAACAAGAACATGTAGCAAACATCATGGTAAGAAATAAAGAAAGGAGAACATGTCTCAGTCTAAGAGAAATCCTATAACTCGCTCGGCAAGAGCAGAACTCCATTTTCCTGGTAGCCATGTGGACCAGTTCCTGCATGAGGGTAACTATGCCCAGGGACTGCACTCCTCAACACCTGTATTCTTGACTGGCATCCTCAAGTATCTGGTGTCCAACATCCTAGACCTGGCTGGCAAGGAGGCCCGCAGAAATGCCAGGACACACATCACCCCAGAACAGGTGAAGATGGTTATAGAAAGCCAGAAGTAATTCCAGCCCTTCCATCATGACATCAAAACTCTAGGTGGTGAGATGACAAACCCAAAGAGTGATGCTGCATCACACACTGGTGGAGTTCGACAACCTCATCTGTCTTCAGAAGTGTCCACACACCATTGAGGCTTATTAAAGCATTTGGACCAAAAAAGAAAAAAGAAATATAAATAGCTGTTATATTTTTAATCTCCCATTGCAAAGTTAAGAAGCTTTTGTTTTTATTTTCAACTTGCTATAAATGTTTGCCTTCTATAATGTTCCTTTCCTTTTAAATACAAGTTCTTTGATGAAAAATTTTGAGACCAACACTGTAGAATAAGGTGCTTTTCTTTTGGGGGGATGGGAGGATTTTTTTCTCTCATTCCCCCCGCCCCATCCCGAAGTTGTGAGTATCATTATTGTATTGGGTCGTCCTCTATCCTTCTTTCAGCATTTTGTTATTCCCCTTCCCTTCTCCAAATCAGACAAGCGTAAACACAAGATGCAGGGTGCCAGAATCAAAGACAATGATTGCCATGGATAGACCAATGACAAAAGCAAAATGAAATAAAGGGAATGCTACTATACTGTTGGTGGGAATGTAAACTGGTTCAGCCACTCTGGAAAGCAGTCTAGAGGTTCCTCAAAAGACTAAACATAAAACTCCCCTATGATCCAACAATCCCATTCCTGGGTGCTTATCCAAATTATCACAAGCAAAGCCACACTAAAGCTACCAGCACAACTATGTTCACTGCATCATTACTTACTATAGCAAAGATATGGTACCAATTTAGATGCCTCTCAATAGATGAATGGATCAAGAAAATGTGGTATATATACACAATGGAATTCTATGCTTCTATTAGAAAGAATGACCTTGCCCCTTTCATAAAAGAATGGAAAGCTTGGAAAAATCATATTAAGTGAAGTTAGCCAGGCCCAAAGAAACATAGGCTCCATGGTTTCCTCATGGTTCACTCATTTGCAATAATTAGTATATGTTTAGGATAGTCCTAGCAGAGTATCATATTAAGTCAATAGCTAGTACATATGACTATGTAGAGTGATGCTAATTGAAATCTCCAAGACATGGAAACAACAGGTCATTTTTTGGTGATTGACCTTGTTGTCATCAATGTACTATAGCTCTTTCTTTTTACTTTATTTCAAGAAGGTGCTTTTCTATAAAATGTCTTATAGAAATTTCACATACAGACACTACCAGAGGCCCTATATGTGAATTACAGCACAGAAGATGACCACTAGCAAACTGAATTTTAAACCATTGACCATTATACTTGTCATTCAGAAGAGGATTATCATTTCTCAAGATATAACCAAAAGTCTATTTTTTAAGTATGTAAGTAAATAATTTAACATTCACAAGAAATTTTTTGTTTGTGTTTTTGGGCTTGAATTCTGGGCCTGGATACTATACCTCAGCTTTTTCACTCAAGGCCTGCTGCTCTGCCACTTGAGCCACAGTTCTACTTTCAGCTTTTCAGTAATTAACTACAAATAAGTGTCTCATAGACTTTCCTGGCTAAGGTGGCTTTAAACTTAGAGCCTCAGATCTTCTTCTCCTGATTTCAGGCATGAGCCATCAGCACTTAGCTAAGAATTTTTTTAATCTGAATAACATACTCTGGGTGACTTACCATAAGACAAAATCAGTGGATTATAAGGAACATAGATATATTTGATTGTAATCAGTGATTAGTGCTGATTTCTAAATTTCCACTTAGAAGAGCTTTATATGTTGAAATGGAAATGTGTAGTTACTAAAAATTTTATTTCAAAACCTTACCTGTGCAATAAGGAAGCCTGTAAGATAGGCATTATCATCATGCTTTAACCATATAAAAATTTTACAAACCATCACACCAGGCAATTATTTGAGGAAAACTCCTTTCCATTCAACAAAGAGTCAATTTAACATTTCTTGACTACATTTCAATCACACAGCAACTACAATCATTAAGTCAGAAACACATTAGCCACCCAAAAAGGTAAAACTGAGTGCTAAGAATCTACATAAGTCAAGTTAATTTAATCTGATAACCTGTGTATGTCTTCTAACTGCAGATCAAAATCATCAAGCTTCTTTTGATATTTCTTTGTAAAGTTGCAAAACTCTTTAAGGATTGAAGATTTCAGATCAGGGTATGGACATTCCAAAGTTTCTAACTCCAGGGGCAGTGCCCTAAGAAACTTAGCTTTCATTTCTGAAGAATAATCTAGAATCTGAAAAAACAATTACATGATAGTTTATATATTATAAATAACAAATGGAAAAGCAAATAAATTACTAGCTACTTTACACTTGCTTTCATGTTGTAGTCTAAAAGATCATTTTCTATCTTCTGTTGCTCCAGGTTAAGTCTTCCAAAGACAGTTTTCAATTGTTTCTTTACAAAGTCAACCTAGAGGACAATGACATGTAAAATAAGTAATAAGCAAAATTGTTGCTATTCAGCCTATATTTATAAGACATGAGTATTATTCTCAAAAAATCAGTAAGTGATGATTAGATAAGAGAAAATTTCCTTGAAGACAAGCCAAAGAGAGCTTCAGGTAAATGAAGTTCAGTGAACTTTCTAGATATATAAGCAAAAAAGAAGAATCACCACTACCTGCACCTACATTTAGATTTGCTCATGGTAAGACAGAAAACTTACAAGATTGTCTAATTCAATCACTTCTCCGTTTCCTTTGGAACCTTGACTAGTCCCTAGCCAGGCATAGGTTTTTTTTATTATTATTCATTAAAACAATATACTATAGAATAGCAGAAAAGTAGAGTCTTGATCCCACCATACCAAGAGTAAGACCCTATAATGAACTGAGTGGAAAGGATAGAACAAAAGCAAAGAGATACGTTGAAATGTGCATGCACAGACAGATTTGGACCAATGTTTACAATAGTGAGCAAATTTGTTTATATATACAAGACATACATGTTTCTTTACTGAAATTGTTCTAGTTGGGACAAAAAAAAATATCTTACATTGTTAAAAGTAGAGGTAATATGCTGGGCTTTGGTGGCTCATGCCTGTAAACCTAGGTATTTGGAAAGATCTGGAGATCAAGGTTCAAAGCCAACCTGGGCAGGAAAGTCTGTGAGATTTTTATCTCCAATTAGCAAAAAGCCAGAAGTAGACCTGTGGCTCAGTGGTAGAGTGCCAATCTTGAGAAAAAAAATCCAAATGAGAGTTTGAAGTCTCAAATTTAAATCCCAATACAGGTATTTATGCGTGTGCACGCACGTGCGTGCACACACACACACACACACACACACACACACAATAGAAGTAACATACTGACCTCTTCTAGTACTAAAACTGAGTTCAATTCCATTTGAAGCTGTGCATACTTTAAAATGTGATGCTGTCTGTACCTCAGATCTGTTCTCAGCTGCTGCACAGGGTTTATCACCCTTTCCAGATATGTGCACCATTGTTCTGACTGCTGTTGTTCTATGATTAAACAACATTGAAACACATTATTTTTTTTACAGTTTCTCAAAAAATTAGTCTTTAAAGGACATACTTTAAATTTTTCTTTAGGAAAAAAAAATAGCTGTTAAAAGAACATGCCCCAGGTGGCCCATTTTTATTCTTCCAAACCAAAATTCCCCTTCAAATATATAATCAAAAAATAAATAAATCTCACCAAAATTTGTAAGGTCACCAAGACATTCATTTCCAATATTATCTTCATTGAAAAAATATTTTATTTCAGATTCCAATTTACATCTGAAACAGACATAATTTCAATCAGCATTTTTGCAATTATAAACACACACATGGGTTCAAAAAAAACAAGTGCAGTAGGAATGATCAGTTGAATGTGGTTTGTTCATCTGTTCTTTAATTCAAACCATGTACTAAATTCCTAGCACGGGCAGAAGGAATAGCATGGCCAGAGGCAGTACACAGCAGGTCCTGGCACTACTCATTGTGGGCAGTGCCAAGAAGCCACTGAAGTATGGCGAGCCAACCTCACCTGCTCAGAATTGTGTTTCACAAAGATTCCCAAGGCAGAAGCTGGAGGTTGGGCCTGAAGTCGGGATAAGCAATGGAAATGGAAGAGAAAGAGGTAGAGATTAGGCAGATTTAGACCAACAAGGGGACCAATTTAAAAGCTCAGAAATGGCTGGTGCATAGATGCAAATTCCTGTTCCCTGGCTAAAACTGTCAGCCCTGCAGGCTGACTAAAAGAGCTCATCCCTGGTTCTGCACCAGTGAGTGGCAGAAGCCGTGTGAGCTCTCTATGGCCTCTGAGGAAATGCCACCTTGCCAAGCCCCAGGATGGGGATGACAATTCTTCTGGTTCCCGAGGAAACTTCTGGCTGATTAGGCCTCACACGTGGCACTAGACCTGTGGGGTAACACTGCTCCTTGCTTCATGGCATCTAGTTCACTGTGCCAACCTAGAGCTCAGAGTCAGGGGTCTGGGCCTCTATTTCAAAACAAAGGAAGGATACAGGAAGACTCCGACAAGAGCACAGCATCTGACACAGGAACTACTCATCCTTGACACTCCAGTTTAGGTAGTGAATGGAAAAAAGCTACTCATCCTTTACTCCGGTCTAGGTAGTAGTTGGAAAAAGGCTGCAGACAAGCTAGGGCAGCCACTGGGTTCTGGGTTCTCAAACCCCAGGGCCAACCCTTGGGGTTTGAGAGTAAAAGAGCGCTTTGTAACCCACTACTTGTGCTCAGAGCACCCAGACACCCACCTCCAAATGCACTTCCCAGGCCTGGAACCGCCCACTGGACTGGGGCAAAATAGACCAATCCCAGGGAAACACCACTAACTCCATGGGGCTGTCTCCTCCCACCTCACCAGCTAACCATGATCCAGAGCTTAACCAACAGCAGAATCCTGCAGCAGGCTGTGCCTGATCATTGGAGAGCCCCAATAGCACATTTGAGTAAGAGCAGGAGAACTACAGTCACAAAGCAGAGGAGCAGAGATTAAAGGAGAGCGTCCATTTTGCTGACTGATCCAAGCACGTATACACATTTCTCCCCAACAAGAAAAATAGATGGACTCTTTTTCCTTTTATAAATTGCCATTTTCTTTACTTTTTATTTTCACTTTGCCATTTTCTCACTCATAAACCACTCTACTAGTGATTTATTCCACCTCTTTCTTTTATTCTTGACTTTTCTTTCCCTTTGCAGTAATCAAACTATAAACAGTGTTTTTTTGTACCTGTTGCCCTCATACTCCTGTCCAATGCCTTATTGCTTCTCTCACTCTTCTTAGTTGTAGCACCTCTATTTGTGTGTGGGGGTGAAGATTCTTTTTAAATTTAATTTTATTGTCAAGGTGATATACAGAGGGGTTACAGTAAGGTAGTGAGTACATTCCTTGTCATACTTGTTACCCTATATTTTAACTCTAACCCAGGTAAGTTTTGTTTTTTCCAACCTCCTCTACTATATGCCCTACTCATCCCTTCATATATAACATAATCTATTGTATAATATTGTTAATGGGGCTTTACCATCTGTAAATCTCTAGATTGGTATTGACTTGATGAATTTACTGTTATTGAATTGTACCCCAAGTTAGTGTTAAGAAATGACCAATCAACCCAGCCACCATCCATTCCTACAAGACTACAGAGAATAATTGAACACAACGTTTTCAAGTGACTAAAATGATATGATCCTATACTTAAAATACCCAAAGGATCACATACACAGACACACACACAGACACACAGACACACACACAGACACACAGACACAGACACAGACACACACACACACACACACACACACACACACACACACACACACACACACTAAGAAAAAGAAACTCCTAGATCCAAGAAGTACTTTTGGCAATGCAGCAGTATGTAGGATCAGCATACAAAAAAACAGTAGATTTTCGATATAGCAATGAAGAGTTCAAAGAAAATTAGGAAAACAATTCAATTCACAATAGCTTAGGTATAAACTAAACTAAGGAAGTGTAAGACCTCTAAATGAAAACTATAAATCCTTGGAGAAAGAAATTGAAAGGAACATCAGAAGGTGAAAAGACCTGTGTTCCTAGATGGAAAGAATTAATACTGTAAAAACCACCAAAAGCAATACACAGAGATTTAATGCAATTCCCAATGAAATCCTAGTGCCACTGTTTGCAGAAATAGAAAATTCATGTAGAAGCACAGAAGACTCTAAATATCAAAAATAATCTTCAGAAGCCAGGCGCTGGTGGTTCACACATATAATCCTAGCTACTTAGGAGGTTTAGATCTGAGGATCATGTTTCAAAGCCAGCCAGGGCAGGAAAGTCCATGAGACTCTTTACTCCAATAAACCACCAGAAAAATGGAAGTAATGCTGTGGTTCAAGTGATAGAGCACTTGCCTTGAGCTGAATAGCTTTGGGACAGTGCCTAGGCCCAGAGTTCAAGCCTCATGACCAACAAAAAAGATAATATCATCATCATCATCATCATAAGCAAAAGAGCCACACATCACAATACTGAACTTATACTACAGTGTCATAGTAATACAAATAGCATGGTGCTGGCACAAAAAGTAAGAAAAGCCAAAGGTCAAAATAGAAGACCCAGAATATACAACCATACAACTACAATCATCTCACTTTTGACAAAGGAATCCAAAGCATAGACTGGAAAGAAGATAGTCTGATCAACAAATGGGGCTCAGAAAACTGTCTGTCTGCACCCAGACCCCTACCTCTCTCCCTACAAAAATCAACTCTAAATGAATTACAGACATTAATGTTAGATGTGTACTTACCAAAGGAAAACAGCAAAAGTCCTGGAAGATATAGGCATAGATAATTACTTTGGGTGTAGGACCCTAATTTCTTGGGAAGAGCAAGAATGAACAAATGGAACTGCATCAAATTAAAATGTTCCTATGCATTTTTTAAAGCCAGAATCAAGACACAGAGTGAGAGAAAAAAATTTTACCAGCTATTCAGACTATACAAAAAGCTCAAAAACATAAACAGCAAAAGAACACACAATTAATAAATGGGTAAATAAATTCAATTAGACAGTACTCAGGAGAGAAATACAAATGACTACTAAAAACATGAAAAAATACCCAGTATCTTCGGTCATAAAGAAACCACGAGTCAAAACTACACTAAGATCCTAACTACCTCAGTCCAAATGGCTAACATTGAAACAACAAATTCTGGTCAGAATGCAGAGAAATAGGAAGCCTTCCTCATACATTGTTAATGGGAATGTAAACTAATATAAGAACTATAGAAATTGGTATGAAGGCACCTCAAAAAAAAAAAACCTAAAAGCAGAACTTCTGTATGACCCTACTATATCACTTTGGGGCCCATATTAAAAGGAGAGTAAATCACTATACCAGAAGCATACACATAGACCCATATTTATGGCAGCTCCAATCATTATAGCTGAAATATAGAATTTATCAACGTGCCAAGAACTGATAAGATATGCAAACATCTACATATATGCATACACATACAATGAACTAGTACTCTGCCATAAAGAAAAACAGAGATCATCATGTTGCTTACAAAAAGCCAAACTCAAAAAGCCACATATCACATGTTCTCATTTATTTGTGGAGTATAGACCTCAAATGATGATGACAATGACTACAATGACCACAAAGACGATGATGACAGAAATGATAATGAGTCATGAAAATAAAAAAGGGACCAGTAGGAGTGGGGGAAGGAAAGGAGAAGATATTGCGGGGGGTAAAGAAGATAAAAGGGTGTATGTACATATACTTATATGTATACACACACACAAATAGATACATATACAACAGCATAGTGAAGCTCACAAATGCTGTGTGAAAAGGAGGAGAGAAGGGGAAGAATGGCAGCATGAAGGAGGGAGTGAATGTTCAAAGTGTCCTTGTGCACATGTAGGAAAATATAGTGAAACCTACTTATATTACAAATGTACACTAATTCAAAACAATGTTCAGGAATGATAAAGAACTCAGGAAAATTTAGGGGAATGAGTATAAAATTCTATTTTATGTTGATAACACTAATAACAGTAAGAATGCTTTATAATCTTTTGCAGTATTTTAAAAATATAATCATTTTAGAGTAAAAACATAACTTGCTCTAAATGGGTATCCAGAATGCTACATTCTATATTATTTGGTTGTGGCTATCAATTAGAATCAAAATTTTATTATAATTATGAATGTACAAAATTAAAATGGTATAGGCAACACTGATCATCACTACAAAAGAAAGTATTGCGATAGTAATATTTTAATACAATGATTATTTTCATTTTTTTCAAATAAAAATCTAGTCCCAACTACATGTAATAATGAAATGTACAATATTTTATATAATAATGTAATAACATTTTATATTGTAGAAACTTTTTTGTTTAATATTACTTTTTAGTTATAATTCTAAATTATTTTATACTATTCCACCATATATAATCATATACATAATTATATTGATGTGTATCTAGATAGCTAGTGCTATCTGCTATCATCTTCTAAGCCATTTTCCTACTTGAGACAGGATTTTTCCTTGCTTTTTTATGGGTAAAGGAGAAGTACTATTATTAATGATATTCCTAGCAGACAGTTTTTGCCAGCAGGTAGTTTTTGCCAAAACACTTTGCAACTGTTACATGGTAGATGGAGACATTGTCATTGAGTTAAACCATAATTTATTTCAGAAAGTTACTTAATCAAAATATAATAGCATGCAAAAACCACATAGCTCAGCTTCCTTATAATATTAGCACCCTAAAACTATAAGAGAACATACAAGCTGCCAGGAAAAGGAAGCAGTAGCATATTTGGGTGTTCTGAGGAGAACGAGTCTCCACCAAGAACTTTGGCACCATCCTTTCCTTTCTGTAGTATAGATTTTAAAGAATTAAAAATGAAACAAGTGCTTAATTCCAGGGCTATGAAACACTAGAAATAAGTGCAAAGATTTCAGTACCTGATCCACAGAAACCAGTTTTTCAACCTTCTGCAAGTAACTATAATCCTCTCAGACTGAAGTCTCATCTGTAACACTGGCTTGTACATTATAGGTTCTTTGTAAGGATGAATGAGATAAAGTGTGTAAAGTACATATTATCTGGTACATACTAAATTATCCAACAACATTAGACAACGTAACCCCTTATCTTCTGAAGACCTGAGATTTTCAATTGGAGTCAACGAGTAAGGCATTAAGAACCTTTTGGTTAAAAAGTGTGGAGATTGTTGGTTGACAATACTGATAAAGTTTAAATTACTGATAAAGCTTAAATTACTAACTTGCTGTTATTCTAAATTCTCCATAAATCTAGCCACCTTTTCGACTTATCTCCCAATGCTGTTTTCAATTGCACTGGACATATATTGAAATGAGCCTACTTTCTAGATAAACACTGCAAACTCTCTTGGAATTCTTTTCTGCCCAATTTTCAATACATTAGGTCATTATTTCTGAACCATTTCTCATTTCCATTGTGTTTGTGTCATTCCAAATCAGCCAGCAGAATTGCTTTTAATAGTGTGATATATTTGCTTTATCCATCTAGCTCAGGAACAACATACACATTGAGAATGTAGGACAGCCAAGATTTAAAAAAACAAACAAACAACAATTTTCCAATGTCTTCTTTTACATTTGGATTAAAACTCTAAACACTATAATTAAAGCTTCCTGGGGGCTTCCCTTGTTATGATATTTTAAGTTATGCAAAAACTTTAAAACTTTTCCAGCAAGTTCAAATATTTTTGTTTCAAAAAAAAAAAAAGAGATGACTTTTTGAAGGATAAGATGTGACTGATGTAGCTAGGCATAGTGGCTCAAGCCTGTAATCCTACCTACTTAGGGAGTAAGGATTGCTGTTCAAAGCCAGCCCGGTAAAAAGCAATTTCCAAGACTGTATCTCAACCACTGGTTGTTTTTGATGATGAGCCTGTTACCTACGCTATGAAGAAAGTACAATGGCTCAGCCCAGTAGTGTGTACCAGTGACACATGGAGCTTAAACCAATCCAAACATAGAAACCCTGCCTTTTAAATGACCATGGAAAGAGGAGCTGGAGTTTTAGTTCAAGTGACAGAGTGCCTCCATTATAAACACAAAGCCCTGAATTTGATCCTCAGTACTGAAAAAATGAAGAAGTATGTAATTCAGTTTGTTTTTATAGCAGAAGTATGGTAATCAAGTCTATATAATTTTGAGTTATGCCTTTATATAAAACTCTTGCTGGCCATGAACCTTTTACCTCAAATACAAGAATCACAGGCCAGAATAAAATCCTATTATGGGGCTGGGAATGTGGCTTAGTGGTAGAGTGATTGCCTTGCATGCAAGAAGCCCTCAGTTCAATTCTTCAGTACTACATATACAGAAAAAGCCAGAAGTGGCACTGTGGCTCAAGTGGTAGAGTGCTAGCCTTGAGCAAATGAAGCCCTGGTCCAGAGTTTAAGCCCCAGGACTGGCTAAAAGTATTTTTTAAAAATCTATTATGAAAAGCATCTAAAGCAAAAGTAACATTAATGGTTTCTGAAACTTGACTTAGCTTAAGATCACAGAAATTGTCTAAATTGATACATAGCAAATGCCTATTACTACACATATTTAAAAGAATATCTTCTTAAATGCATCATTGTTGAAGCAAGTATGTCTTAAATGGAAGAGTAACATATGTCTTCTCTTTGAGTCTTGACTTTTGAATAGAAATTTATCTTTAAACCTTATAATTAATATCAAATATAAATTTGTTATTTTGTTATACTTCTGCTGGAAGTAAATAACAAAGTCAAAAATCAAAGATCAATAAGTAAGCGATGATATAATTATATCACAAAAATCACTGAACAAGTAAACTCTTTAAGCTATTTCCAACTATGTATAAAACACATTTACATATCTTCTACTGTATATCCCATGATGTAAAGAGGAATGTGATGAGAAGGTAGTCCTCACAAGATTACCATTTCAGAGGGAAGACAAACATTACAGTGTCATGTGCAAAGTATAACCCATGCAAAATGCAAGTCTAGGAGAAGCAAGTTCAGAAGAGCAAGTGATTGACAGATAAAGACTATTATCTTTTTTTCCTACAGGAAAGAAAAACCATGTTAACATATTCCCTGGATTCAAAATTAAACTGAGGCAATGAAAAAATTTGCATATGACTCAAATTGTAATGTTTAATTAGCCTGGACCGTTATAAAGCATCTGACCAGATAACTAATGTAGTAATTCTGTGAGTCCTTACTAAGTTCCCCCCAGTTCTTACCTGGCTTCCTTTAGCCTTTGGTGTTCCTGCCACCACACTTGCTTGTGTTGTTTTAGTAACCTTCGTTCTTTAGATTTCTTTGACATGTCCATTGCTTTTCTGATCTACATTTAGACAAAAAGAAAAAAGCAACAATCACTAGGTTTTGAAAAATCCATTTTCCACAGAAATGTTTGATTTGTATGTTTTAAGTACTACTGTTTTTCAGTTTTTATTAGTTCATCTTTTGACACACAACCCACTTAAAATCAGTATTGTGTAATATATATTATATATGTTAAATATATATTATATTATACATATATATGCATATATGTATGCATACATGTATGTATATAATATTATTCTGTAGTATATATACATAGGTATACATAATAAAAATAATTTAAACCTTCTTATAAAAGGGGATGCAGAAAGAATATAAAGAGGTTGGTTTTTATCAAAGTACATCATATGCATGTATGTAAAGCATCACAATGAAACCCCTTTGTAGAATTAATTTATGCTAATCAAAATAAATACATAAATAATTATTGTTTGGAACAGGGAGGAGGAAGGAGAAAGAGAAAATGGCTTGGAATACTGACCAAAGAATGAAAAGAAATTGAAGTCATTCTATAGTCCATGCATATAATAAATAATATCTTAATTCACATGGACCAAGAAAATGTTTCAGGAGTTTTCCACAAACATATCTCCATTTTGGACAAATCTTCCCTCCAGGTCCTATGGGGAATCATCATTTCCATTTTACAGATGAGGACCTCAAAGGTAATAAAGTCCAAAGATTTGGTCAAGATCATAAACATCTGAGTCACACAGAGCCTTGCTGGGTTAGTTTTTATGTAAATTTTCAGCATAAGATGGAGAGAGACACATTAGATGAGATGTTACAGGGTTGGCTTTAGACCCAGCATCAGTACTTAACTAGAAATATAACCTCAAATGTATAATTTTAGTCTTTCAACTCCATGACTTTATAAATACACTTTTTTGGTGATATGGGTTTGAACTCAGGGTTCTCAAAATTGCAAGGCTGGCATTCTATGTAAGTCATATGTCCAGCCCTGCTTTGTGCTGGTTATTTTGGGGATGGAATCCAGCTAAATTTTCTGCACAAACTAACCTCAAACTCCAAATCTCCAAATCTGTTTCTTGAATAGCAAAGATTACTGGCACCTGCTTATAAATATATATTCTTTTAATTTAGGCAAATGTTTTTGCACTAAACAAAAGATAGTGAAAAAAATCACATAACCTGAACACTTAAAAACTTTCAGTTAAATTTAAATTTCCCCAAGCTGGTTAACGTTCAAAAATGTAGCAAATAATGAGTACTTTTTATCAAGTGTGCAAGGCCCAGTTCTGTTGCCTTTGACTAGTTCCTTCCTTCTCTCTGATCTCCAAATCAAGGAGCAGCCTTTCTTTCTCAGGTTGACTTCAAATTGGGTTTAGCCAAAGGAAGATACTGGCCTTGGGAGATTGAGGAAAGAAAGAAGTGAAAGCATTATCTGCATTGCTCTTTTCTCCTCTTAAAGGAGTCGGTGGAGCAAACTGCAATTTTTCCATTACTCCAACTCTTCTCTAGAAATGTCTACTGTACTTACAGATATTTCTGATAACTTCAGTGCATTGTGTATGGTATCTTTGCTTCTTCTTTATGTTCTCTAACATAGGGATGTGAGTGATTTCCAGTGGTTGTTAATATCTATTCCTCATCAACCTCTCACGTTTAGCCTGATCACCTGCATGACCATTTAGATTCCTCTATATCAAATCCTCAAGTGGTGTCTGCTTCCTGGTTTGACTGACTTGTACTCATGTACTCTGAGCTCATATATTCCATGTATAAGTTCTTTTAAACATGTATGGAAGTACAAATCAGAAACTTCATAACATACACATTTCATAAATTCTCTGCTACTAGAACAGCAACGCTCTCTGATGCTATCTTTTAAAAGATCAATAATGAGGATATTAAAACTGCAGGAGACAACTCCCAGAAAGGAATCTTCATAATGCATGCTACGGCCTGGTGTTATTCACTGATTACTTTAACCTTGAGTTTATCTTTCTGCTCTTCTTGATTAAGGATATTTAAAAAAAAAAACAAATTAGCCTAAAGACTACTTTAAAAAGTACAGAGTCAATCTTTTCCACAGAAGTTCTGAGTACTACAATAAAACTTAAGGATAAATAAGTATAATACACTGCAGACAATTATCTAGTAGTCTCTACTTAAAAAGAATAATAAAAACATCTAACATTTCTAAAGTCTGATACTCTAGCACTTGCTTTAACAATGTGTAAAACTTGAGCAAGGCATGGTGGTATGTACCTGAAATTCAAGCATTCAAAGTTCAAGATTCTAAGTTCAAGACTAACTTGGTCTATATATCAAGACTTTATCTTATTTGTTTTAAAGAATAACAAAAGGAATATCTGAAATTTATTCCAACAATGTATTATCTTCAGGTGCTAAAGTTGTTGACAGATATAACTTTTCAAATTAGAGTTCTTTGACATATTTGGTACATGTTGCACAAAAAAATTAAAATACATTGTTAGAAGAGCTGGATTTTTTTTACAGCTTATGGAAGAAAAAAAATCAATACTATTGCCTTGGGGCCCTGGAAAAGGCCAATTAAATAGATTATAAAAGTCAAAATAAAGTTACCATTTTTCACTGTACTCTTCTAATATGTTGTACAACATCCTGATTCTTTTGTTTTTTGTTTTTGTTTTTGTTTTATGGAAATTGACTTATTGATTCTACTTGTATCCTCGGGCCAAAAGTAAAGAAAAATAAAGTTTTAAAAGGAATAAAATGATTTAAAGTTGTATCTTTATCAAAAGATATTTCTAGGTAATTCTAATTCATTTTATTGGGCAATAAGACATGAAATCAATATGTAGGGTAGGCAATGACTTTTGTAGAAAGATGATTTAAAAGTATTTGGGACAAGAAATGTACTTGTTATCTTACTTATGTAACTGTAACCCCTCTGTACATCACCTTGACAATAAAAAATGTATTTTCCTTTGAAAAAAGGGCAAAAATAAAAAATTCAAAAAAGAATCGGAAACTAGAAGTCTCCAGTGTGAGGCTTACTACAATTCTCTAAAATAATGAAACCTTAAATAGGTATCCTGAAACACTACCAAAGATATTTGGGGGCAAAGAATCCATCTCCAGAAATAAACATCAGGCCACACACTGGTGACTCAGGCCTGTAATCCTAGCTACTCAGAAGGCCCAAGATATGAGGATCTTGACTTGAATCTAGAAGCAGAGGCATGAATCAGGTAGCAGAGCACAAAACTTGAGCAAAAACCATTAAGGGAAAACATGAGGTCTTGAATACAAGCCACAGTACTGGCAAGAAGAAAGAAAGAAGAAGAAGGAGGAGGAGGAGGAGGAGGAGGAGGAGGAGGGGGAGGGGGAGGGGGAGGGGGAGGAGGAGGAGGAGGAGGAGGAGGAGGAGGAGGAGGAGGAGGAGGAGGAGGAGGAAGAGGAGGAAAGGAGAATGAGCAGGAGGAGGAGGAGTAAGAGAAGGAGGAGGAGGAGGAGGAGGAGTAAGAGAAGGAGGAGGAGGAGGAGGAGGAAGAGAAGAAGGAGGAGGGAAGGAGGAGGAGGAAAAAAAGAAATAAACATCAGTAATCAGTGAGCAATTGGAAATTACATGTATAACAATATATTTGCCAAAATTAATGGAAAATACACTTAAAATGTGTACATTTTATTATATGTGAGTTTTGCTTCAATAAAGAACTTTCAACACAAATATGAGAAAAAGAAAACTAAGATGCAATTTTACCTATCTTCATCTATCTTTCTTCTATTGAGTTGGCAAACAGTCAACTATTGAGCCAGTCACTAGTAATACTAGCTACTCAGGAGGCTGACAATTGAGGATCATGATTTGAAGCCAGCCCAGGTAGGAAAGTTTGTGTCTTATGTCCAATTAATTACCAAAGATCTAGAAGTGGAAGTATGACTCATCAAGTGGTAGAGTGCTAGCCTTGAGCAAAACAGTTGGGATTCAGCACCCAGGCCATGAATCAAGCCCCAGGGCCAGCACAAAACCAAAATATATTGACCTAGGAACTGGTGGCTCACACCCATAATCCTAGCTACACAGGGTGATGAGATCTGAGGATTGTGGTTCAAAGCCATCCCAGGCAGAAAAGTCCCTGAAACTCTTATCTCCAACTAATCAGTAAAAATCCAGAAGTAGAGATGTGGCTCCAGTAGTAGAGAGCCAGTTTTGAGTGGAAAAGCTAAGAACTGAGAGAGAGTGACCAGGTCCTGAGTTCAAGTTCCAGAATTGGCCTGGCGCGCACACACACACACACACACACACACACACACACACACACACACACACCTATTAAAAACATTTTCAGACATAATTATGTCTTTTAGAACTCTAGTGGTTTTAATATTTTAAAATTCTGTGTTGAAATAATTATATACAAGACATAATGATGGGGCTGGAAAGGTGGCTCAGTAATAGTGTGCTTGCCGTGCGTGCAAGAGGCCCTGGGTTCCATTTCTCAGCACCACATAAGCAGAAAAAGCCCAAAGTGGCTCTGTGGCTCAAGTGGAAGAGTACTAGCCTTGAGCTGAAAAGCTGAGGGACAGCCCCCAGGCCCAGAGTTCAGGCCCCACAACTGACAAAAAAAAAAAAAAGACATAATGATGCCACAAATTTGCCTTAGAACAATCTAGTGGGGGAAGTTTTGTGGGAAAGACTGTAACAGAAACAATGGGTGAAATGTATCATGGTTGAAGGCAGATGATGTTAGGTAGATATTCATTATACTATTCATACAAATTTTGCATGTTTATAGTTTTCCATAAGGTATTTGAAAAGCATTGATTGACACTTGAAGTAGACAAGAAAAATGTTAATTCTTGCTAAGCAAAGAAACTCAAATTAAAAACATTATAATGATTGTTTTTCTATCTAATAAACAGCAAATAAACAATTTGGCAAAATGAGCACAGTCTAGCAAAAGCTATCTTAGTTTCAGCACAAATCTACTTTATGGCTTCAGGTTTAATTTCAGTCTCTGAATGA